TCAATATCACCAAATTACGTCAATATCACCAAATTACGTGAATATCACCAAATTACGTCAATATCACGAAATTACGTCAATATCACCAAATTACGTCAATATCACCAATTTTGTTGCATAGTAGCTACTGATCAGCCTTTTGACCACTTAAATGGACTGTTATAGTGTTCGGCAGCAGCTACGAAATTTGTTGTGCATGAGCTAGTTTAGCCAAAACTTAGAAAATTTCCAACAGTTTCTCCTTCCCGCCCCCTCACGGCCCAACAACGACGCCCCCAAATTAAAAAATCCTGCAGTAAATTTCTTTTTACCGGGACATGTATCATAAGCAAGGTATTTCATACGTTCTTTTCGAATGTGCGCTTAGTTAAAAACAAACAAACAAATACTTCACTGCTAAAACACAGCACTGCTAATAAACGGTGACCCACTCGAGTCCGAACCTTTTACGTATGTGTCCCCACATATCGTATTACGATTGTTGTTCCCAAGCGGAGTGCTACTTCCGCTCGGCTATTTATACCAAGTGAAAAGAGCATGCATTACGTCTAAAGTTCAGTGAAACCTATAATCTTCGTCGGTTTGAAAAATGGAAAATCACTCATAGCTAGTCGCCATTGTGAATTTTATAAAGAAACAATATTGTGAAATTCATGGTAATTAATATGAGGTTTATACCCAACCAATTGTCGTGAATTAGGTCACATGCACACCCTGTACACCCCATGCAAAGTATATCGGAAAAATACAAACTGTAACTAATTTACAAATCTATTCAAATCTTATTGATTACAAATTCATTTGAACAAGACTTAAACCTCGGGACAAGGACGTATTGAATGAATTTAGTAAAAGATTATAGCTTTGAACTTTCTTAAAATGTCATGTTACAAAATGAGTTTATGCATGCGTGGGCTTGGGACATGTCGCAGTGCTCGGAAGCTTTCGTCCAATTGGATAATGCTTTTCTATGGTTTCTAAAGAACGAAGCTATGCTATTGGTTGAAACAGCGAGGAGCTGCAACACTATATACCCCTGGCCTTATGCAAGTCATAACTGAGAAGATGAAAATGTATCTGGTGCAGATGACTAAGACTCTCTCGCTAGTCATAAACATGCCCATACCGGCATGTATACTAGTGGTATAGGAACCGGGGGGATACAGAAGGCCGAAAAGGGACCAAAAGTGCCCTTTTTGTTTCCTATACATATGCCCACTTATGCGTGCTCATTTTTTTGTAGAGCATATAAACATACACCATAAACTAGTGATGTCCTCGCAACTTTGGCAACCAAACCGTCCCTATATATATACATTTTTAGCTGCCCTTTTTTATTAACCAGAAGTGCCCTTGGAAGCTAGTGTCCCCCCAATCTCTGAATGCTTCCTATGCTCCTGATTGTATACTTATATAGTTATAAACATGCCTATACCTGTATTTGCCCGAAGCTATAAACTGAATAATTTTTCTTAGTGTTAATGACATGAAATGCTTGACTCTGAAGTATGGAAATCACTATAGACCTTTACTTTTAGCTTTATAAAATATTAATTTTAAAATTCAAGACTATAAAATATTTTGAAAATATAAAAACAACTGCCATTCGGGGAGAAAGCAGCAAATTACTGCATTGCAGCATTGCATATATATAATTATTGTATAGTACGTGTTTTGTGTAAAGATTCCTTTAGCCTTAACGGTAAGGCTGTTAGCTTTGTATGTAAGGCTGTTTTGCAAAGCTGCCTTTTATAATTTGTTTATGTGGACGTGAAGGGCATAGGCTTCAAAAACGAAACTTTATCGTTGTTTCGATAACACATTTTCATCTGTGAAGTAAAACGACGGGAAAAACAGAGACGATATTTCTCAGTTGCCTTCTCCTGATCGTGTGTTATAATTCTAATATGTTATAATTATGGAAAAGTCGAGGATTTATGGAAAAGAAGATCTCCTAAAGAGTGCTTGTGGAAAAGACTGGAATTTATAAAAAAAGACACTTATGGTCAGACGAAACCAACCGCAAATGAAGGAGTGAAGCACTCACGGGTGCTCAGATGAACGAGTACTTATATGTGGAGACGCTCAATATGTTGCAAATCTCATTCTTTGCATATTCTTGGAGTGATCTCACGCGAGATAACCAGACCACGATATTTGCTCCGGTGTCAAGAATTTTTAAGCTGCATGAAATGGGGTGGATGGAAATTCTTGAAATGTTTTAAGCACATGCAAGCGATGTCGCCATACATTCATTCACACATTAGCTGCGCCGAACAAAAGCTATTATATGCCGATGCTCCACCAGAAATATTAATCAGAGTTCAGTTAAAGTTAGACTTGTATCCTGAGTCGGTACCATGTACAATCGCGTTTATTACAAGTTTCGGACCAATTATCAATCGGAACGGAAAGTTTTATTATGTTGCAACGTTGCTCAGGCAAATATTATGACCTTCAGTAAACGATTCGTCGTTTTCAGTGACATGCGTTGTTGATCATTGAGTTGATTCGAACAGGATCATCGAACACGAGATTTTAATGCATTGATTACTTTTGTACAATAATCAGCGAAATAACCATTGGCGCTGATAAATAAATTCTGTTATCGTCGCGCGTTAGAGATTAGAGTCACGTTGAACAATTCTGATTCGTTTCATCGTCAATTAGCATTAATTTGTTTAAGAAAATTGGAATTCAGGCCAAAAGAGTTATAAAGTCATCGATTGTTATTGCATGTATCTCCATTGCAGCACTGGTATACACACATGCATAATTGAAATGGGCCATTGCGGATTCTACGGAAGGTTTTAGCCTATAAAAAGATTCCATATTTTCTTCCGTCACTCTCTTTCTAAAATTTAAACTTGTGCTATATTGACGCCTCGTGGCCCCGTTTTTTGCATGCTCTTGAATTGCCGATGTAATCTCGCGCCGAATGCCAGCTGGTTTGTTCCCAGCACACCGCGGGTTTTTTGTAATCCCCTGACGACCTCTTCAGGTGTATGGACCAAAAGTTTCGCGTTTTCAAAGTTAAAATACTTTGTTCGGTTTAGTAAGAGTAATACACATGCACTTGTCAGTGATTCACACCGTAAAACAATGATGAAATTTTTTAAATTCGAACTGAAAATGGAAGAACACCAATTCTTGCATGCGGCGTCAATGATTGCAGGGGAAATTGAATGATAAACTATTTATACCGAATACGAATGAGTTTCCGGCACTACTATATAACTGCTGTCGAAAATAGTGTGAATACGAATCAGTACATTTCTTAGTCAATTATTCCTTCGACATTTGTCTGTAAAATAGAAGTTGAAGCTATAATTTAGCTACGATTGAAGCTACGATTTTGAAACCACTTTAGCTACGATTGAAGCTACGAAACCACTCGGAAACGACGCTCGTGTGCCGTTTCAAAAAAATTTTGACGGTATTTCAAGAATCATCTTGAAAGTTTATAATAATAGCATGTGAAGTACAAATAAATGAAGAACAAAAAGCAGTGCTTATATTTTTGACGTGTTGGAAAAGTATTTGCAATACCTGATTGTACTAGTATTTGCAATACATGCTCTGCTGTGTATTTGAAAATTAAGGTCTTGGGACAAGGTTGGTAAATATGCTGATATCAGCAAAATAGAAAAACAAAATGGCGATACCTTTCCGGTAAACCGTATATAATCTATATATAATCAACCTCTCGAAAGTAATAATAAATTCACGTATATAGTGCATGCATGTGTACCCAAAACAGACATATTCATCAATTTTAATTAATGTATACACTTGACTCATTGTCTATAAACTAACCTTGGCCTTGATCTCCCACTTTCCGCCTTTTATCGTCGATGCGAAAAAAACGTGATTTGTTTTATGATAAATACAGTGAAGTATACCGAAAAAACTTTAATTAGGAACATTTTACAGGCATATATCCGCAGGCATGCTGTCAAACACCGGGACTTCTCAGTTTATCGGCAGGCAAAAGTAATAAAATGTAGCTTACACACTCTCTGTTTTAAACAATGCCAGTAAACAATCGGCCCACAAAACTTAGATCACATTCTTTGTGAAGCGCTATATGAGGGATCAATTTTTATTGCCATACAAAATTGATATATCCCATTGGTTTTGAAACAAAGGTGGTTCAGAATGTTGTAATCCGATGATTCGCCACGTGTACTCGTAACTCGTGTATCTATTTTGTAGATAAAACGCATTCTAACCGGTTACATGCATATACTTCGCCGTGTTTGAAATCGGATGCTATTGTCAACAAGGTAAACTTCTGTGTGCAGGAAGAGGCAGATTTTATCGCTGTTATTTAGCTGTGAATCCCAGCAAGCATGGTAACTTCGGCTCGTTAATAATTTGAAACATGATAAGTAGGTATGAACAGAAAAAAACTGCACTTCCTCGTTCACTTACGTTAATTGCGATTATATAATAATATTAACTCTGCATTATTGCAAATATATTGTCACATCATGCCTTGTTGATGCGTAAACAAAATTGCAGACAGGTATTAAAGATCTAGCCGAAAATCTCGAAAATCGCGAAGAACAGCTGAGCTACACATGTCCGAGTCAAACTAAATTTTATAGTCTAAGCATGATAGAGTTCTCAAATTCGTTGCAGGGGTTAAAAACTTAATAACTTCTTTTTATATATTTTGATATTCCAACACAAGCATTTGTGTATTTATTGCGCATGCATACAGAAAAGTATTATAAAGAATCGTTAAGCTATTTACCGCTAATAGCGACGTGAATGCATGGATATACGGCATTCAGTGCTGAATAGTCTTAACTTGCTGATGTAATTGTTACGCAAATCTTATTATATTAAGTCAAAGCCATTAATCTGTCTTTGCATGTATTGGCCGTAAGTATTATCATACACAAACAGGATTCATTTCACACGCACAATTCAACGCAGTTAATCCGTAGTTCGAGAGCATTTGTCGACATGAGTAAAACAATGTAATCACTGACCTTTCTGTACGCCCTGCTATCTTGACTTGATCTGATCTCAGTCTTCTGATTTCACAAGATTTCTAACCGGAAAGCCACAAATCAGCCAAATGTTTCGCACTGCACCGTGCCTGTGTGACTCTATTCGACTTTTGCGAAACTTTTAGACAAGTTCCTTTCCTGTTTTCAACTTGTTTACGCGTATTCCGTCCTTATATGAAAATTCGACCGGCAGCGTATACTTTGTACCTCCAAATCAATAGGATAAGTTATTTGTTCCGCGGCTGTATTCAGTGACGCAAACACACGGTGGAAAGATGTTTCGCAAAACTTGTCTGTTTGACACCGTCGTGGAAACCGAAGAAAGCTTCTGAATTACAAATTTCAGCACCTATTGGTGACAATAATTATGAAATAAGTTGACAAAAACTCAAATAAATTAACGTTCGATTAATTAATTCATTTGATAAAATATTTAACTACTGGCATCAGTGAAGTTCAAATGCATCAGTATATATTTTTCTATATTCAATTGCTGTAAAAGTTGACTAAGTTATACGTTTAAGAAACGATTTAGAATTGTTTCTTAGCACTATTTGTGTCTGCATAATAATCTATAAGTGGTTTACTTTCTGTTTCAAGATGTAGTGCTGGCGTCATTTCGAACTTAATATTAGAAATATTATTTTGAAATGTCCAACGATACAGTGCTATATACGTATTAAAAGCAATTGATCAGGCCTAGGAGGTCCTCTATTGCTGGACTGAAATAACTAGGTTATTACATTATCGCACACGAATGTCTGGGTTCCCAAATGAATGATTTACGGAAATTTCTGGCTTTAGTTTTCAGGGCCAATTACAGGAATTTCAGGCAGGTTTTCTTTGTTCGTGTATATAAACACGTTACGGGACTTATTGCTGGGACCTGAAGCTTGTGATTTCGTCACTCTCTCGTCCATATCAGGTCGCATCAAGTATTTGGCATAAATTGCGCAAGTTATACCAATAGTGCTAATTTTGCACGCGATTTTTTGCGCACCTTTTAATATACAACCATCTATATCAGAGCTATCATTGGAAAAATTAGTCAATAAGGTTTCTTGAGTGTTTCGAAACGTGATTTAATTCAGTGGTTGAATTATTTGCATAACTCAATTATGATGTTTAGTATAATATGTGTTGACTTTGTCCATTATTTATATAGGGCACCTTTAGGAAAATCCTTTCTTTCATCACCGGTGGTAATGTACTAATGTAGGCAGGCTTGCGAGTTATAAACACGGGTTATTGCAATAATTATATTATCTGTCGTTACGAGAAACTTTGCGCAAACATCGTTCCTGTGTAATTGATACGGACAGGCGAAGTTTAAACGATAATTATCATATCCTGATGAAAACAAACATATATTCTCCTGTCCTGTGATTTTCCCATTGACAAAATGAAAGTTACGCAAACATCATAGTCTTCATATGCAAGTTATAATAAACAGAACTAATATACCTACCAAGCCTTAAATATCACCGCCTATGCTCAGCTTGCCCAAAACAGTGATCTTTCCGTAAGTACATAGAAATATAGACACAACGATACTCTTTATGCATGAAATTAAAAGAATTCAATAACTTAGCCCCTCGTGATGACTTCGATACACAGAATCGTTACACGTTTTGCCAATTCTGTTTGTATATTCTAGCATGTTTCAAGGTATTATCAAACAGCCATTACACGGTACGTGTCGTGTCGTTTCAACAATGACTAAAGCCTAAGTAAATTATCGCGCTGTAAATCTAACAATGTATCTGCGGTTGCTCTATTAAATGGTCGGGCAGATTAGTCGCACAGCAGGGCAATTGTGAGCGACGGGCGAGTGACAAATTTGCTGGAATATTAATACCAGCGGTGTATTTTTGAATAAACAAAGGTGCAATACGAATAACCTGTCAAATTACCGCGTATAATAAGATATAACATTCTATTTTATCATCAGTGGATTGGTTATAGATATAGCATATAAATTGCGGAAAGTGGTACCGAGGAATAAACATTAATTACAGCTACTATTTTTTACTTTAATGTGTTACAACTTTGACTTTGATGTTTATTTGATTCTACAACAAAGCTTGATACAAACAGTAAGAACAAAAATCTGCTGGCCCTGACGTTTTTTCTCTTATTATTTTTAAGTTCATTTCCATAGAATAAAGCCTATTTTTGACATAGCGTCGATTAGTCACCATGCATGTGCAGTGCATGGACCTTAACAGTAAACCTATTTATGAGAGATTATCGTTTTGCTTGAAGTACTTATAGCTCTTAGTGAATTTCTGTTTTTCTTGCGCCGCATTCAGATGAGTAATGTCGTGAAAATTACCCATGCATATGCCGCTAGACGTATAACTATTACATCTGTGACGCTGCTTTTTGCTGACATGACAAAAAAACGCCACATCTATATAATACAATGTGCACATCAAAAACTTCAATAGAATAATTGCATTAGGAAAAAGGTTTGTAAAGCTTTGCTAGCTTCAGATTTATCGTATGCATGTTCTCCTTGACTCAAACATAATCACATTTATATGCCTAGTATTATCCTTATTAAGCGCTGGAGAGAGAAGGTGTACACCCTCGAAACACTCAAAACTCGTGCGAAAAAATATAAAAGAAAACTATACGTAAGCCGAAGTAACGTTAGTTTAATTTATGGTTTCACATAAATTATCGGCTGGTTTTTGCTATGCAAACACGTTTTGCTCCAGGCGAGATTGAAACACCATAACATCGTACTGAAAATATTATGTGCTTCTGCTCCTTTTCTTTTTGGCATCTACGTCATTCACGATTTGATTGATCTGTTTTGCCGTTAGTGCTTTATAACTACGCAAATAAGTGTTAATCAAGTTAATAAAGTGCTTATAGATTTCGTAAGAACACGAAAGTCTTCTTTGGTTAGAAGTTACTCGTGCAGTTTAACTCTTTCTGTTATTGTAAACACCAGGGCTAGTATTATACGTCTATGATAACAGCCTTATTGATAACACTTGTTTGCACTGATGCGATGCTCTTAATTAATAAAGCAGTTCATCAGCGGGACAGTTGACCTATATACTTCTTTATTGGTCTTGTCATTATGACTTATCTTCGATAGAAGGAAGCGGTTTACTCAACCCGTCCTTCTTCTTTTGGCCATTAATCATAAGAGACATTTCGCCCTAGACAATCATTAAGTTTAACCTGTCGTGTTGTTTTACCCGAAAATGAAGGAATATATTCCACCCTGGGTCCCTGGCGTGTCATAGCGGATGCACTGATTTTGGTGTCGCCGAAAAATGCGGAAATAAAAGCCGTCTGCAAAGAGCTTGCTTTCGTTCCTCTACGTCTTTCATTCCATCATCATCGCTCACTTAGATCATTATTGCTCTCGCAATCAGTCGACCATGAACACACACCACATGCATTCAATTATAGTTATAATTCAATGTTCTGCTGTTGGGACCTTATTATATTTGGAGTATAAAGTCACTGTTATGAATTATAGCCGAAACTTTGTCTATTCCAATTTATTCCCTAGGAACACGTTTACAAAAACATAAACTACGAATATCGAAAAACTTAGTCCTTCCTTGGCGGTCCTAAAAACATGTGTTCAGTCACGTTATACTGCCCGAAATTTTAGTTCAGTTTGCCGCCTGTATGTAGGCGTATTAATATTCGATCTTAACAGTCACAATAGCAACACACGCAATCTCACGCATGCGTTGTTCGAATGGTTCCATATTCCCCAACAATTAAAAGGCTCTAAGAATCTCTTGAGTCTGCTAGTAGAACACTATTGCAATGACATGAAGTGCATATCGGTGATTTCATTAGATACCCTACAGATGAAAAACACGTACCGTGTTCTATTTAAGAAGCGGTTAATAACGTACTCCTTGTTCCACACTGGTTCTTAGCAATAAGGTAAGGTAGTTGAACAGTTGAGCTTAACAGATTCGCCACTGATCAAGTCATTGTTGAAAAGTAAAACAACCTCTGATCATCAACCCCCGATGATAACTAAAAATTCCACAGGTAACTGCAGAACAGTGAAAGAAATCTTAAGGTTCTATTGTGAAGATAAAACTAGTCGAAAAATTTTAATACCCTTTTCTGTGATAAGTCGCTATGCCAGCCCCTATATCCTGCCTATAGTAGTCTTGGAAATCTTCTGCCTCTGTGACAAAAAGTAACCGTATTATAAAGTTAATAATCGTAAGAATACTCTTGTTTATTTTAATTTGTCAGCTCTTTTCACTTCGCCAACTCTTATACTTGCAATTCGAAGAGTTTTATGCTAAAATCGAGGTCAGGAGAGTACTAGATGCAATCGAAAATATTAACACACGTTGCCCATTTATAAGAATTAACTGATAAGGATCTATTTGTAAATTGATAATTGTGTCGAACTGACAATGAAGCGCACTAATCGTCGATGCCAATTTGCACATTTCAGTCGAGCCACGCGGAAATACTGGAATTCGGCACCAAATTCGCAAAGCGTTTTTCCCACGCAAATTTTTCAATATTTAGCAACCAATCCTTTAAAGTTTTAATCTTACTAATTTTCATTGGTCTTTCCAGCTGTACTGGTGAATATTCCTAGTTGTCAATTTAGTTTTAAGGGTTGATGATCCAATGCATGGCCGGCTCGAACTAGTCTGGACTCTGGAGGTCATAACTCCATAAGGATACAGTCGCTAAGTTGCCAACTCGCTATATTTGCATTTATAATTTAGTCATTTCTAATTGTGAATATAGCTAAGCCTAATTTGTACCCTGAATATGTGATAATGTGAGCCGAAAATTACTAAGCAATTGCGAACACCATGCATGCCGGGATATTTTTGCGTATGCAATAGGCTAGTTTAGAAACTCATTTAGCATTAAATCAACATTTTGTTCCAGGCAAATACCGACAAAGATTGTAGCTAAAATGCGTAAAATACGGGCCTGCATCATGCGAAGTTTGCGAATGTGGAATAAATTATTGTTATACGCGGCCGAAATCGAGGCCAAGGTTATACGTCGTATTTTTGGTAGCGTCGAATGCAATCATAGATAATGAGATGATAAATCTCATTAAGCTTCATTATAAGGCTTAAAAGGTTTAAAAACAACTGAAGGAACACGAACACCTGCTGTTTGTTTGCTCTGTTGCAATTATTTAACATTCCAGTTTGATAGCATTGTCAGTGACATTAATTGCTTGCAGTTTTCAGTAGGCAAGGATGGCATATGCTGATTCCGCAGAAACTTTATAGTAATTTTTATCTGCCCGCCTAAAATTTCGTCAAAATATAAACGTTTTTAGCTCATTACGACTATAGGTGATCTTATCCTATATTTTAGCCAATCACTGGCTCGGAAGGGTGGTCGAATCTTCTAGTGGCATTTAATCGATTATATCATTTGTTATTCTTATATGAGTCCAGTCCAAATGTTGTGATTATGTTTAACCATAAGAACTATCGATATAATATACAAAATTATTTTTATTATTTCTTAGCTATAAAACTTTCAATTTTGAAGAGCTAAAGATTTGTGGGAAATGCATGCGCGTAAAGCAGACTCATCATTTCTCATTGTTAAACTGCTCCACACTTTGTAACTATATACAAAGGTCTGTAGTCAAATTTAGCTACATCGCAGCGTTATTCGGCTGCTTGAAAATCACCGAAAAACCATGAAAATAGTTTCAACTATATTAATTACAAGGACATTCATGCACTCTGTTGGTTAATTCAATATTATTATAAATGTCGTGAAAAATCCCGTTTAGCTGAATCTATATTAATGAATTTGTTGGCCTGAGTTAAGAGTTAATATCTATCACATGCAATGCAGACATGCAATCATGCAAATCATGAGTCCAATCAGCTGGAGCTATATGTGTTAATAGCCCCATTCATAATCCTCAAAACGTCTCAATCAGTCTCAATACGTTTTGGAATTTTTTATTAAACTAGAACTTTTCTCGTCATAGTCGTAGAGATATAATCTCTAAAAATACTAAATATGGAATGTCATTTCAGATTATCGCCGGTAGCGACTGAAGAATAATGATAATAAGTCTTTTTCATAATTCCTCGCACATATTAATTGATTATTTGCCTTTTTCGACGATTTTCAATAAGTATAACCGGGGTCCCGGTGTATAGCTATTCCATCTTAAAATAGCTACTTCATCAATTTTTTGGAGAGGTCCCCTTCGCTTTAAAATAAGGGTGACAATATGACTTTATGACTTTTAATGACAAAGCATGCGAAGATATTGTGTTTGGTGTTTATAACTAACAGTTCAGAGTCCTTAATGCTCTCTGCAACAACTCTATAGTCAATTCGGTGTAGAAAGATTGTAAGTAAGCTATGCATTGCAAGGAAAGTTCAAAGTTGCAAAGTGTGACAGCGCCTTTAGCCTGCCATTCGCGAAACAAATCCACGATCGGCGAATATTGAATATGAAAATGTAGCTGGTTAATAGAAATGATATATTTCATTTATAATAATGTCACAAAATAGCGTCATGTCTCCTAATATTGTCGTGATTGCGCGCGAGGCAGAGGCAGCATCAATATGATGCCATTTTGCTGATACGCCTCGGGTGATTAAAAGATCAATTTATTTGTCTTTACGCTCTCTTTTGTTCAGCATGGCGTGCAATCATTCAAATAGTTATAATAAAGAAATCCGCGTTTTAATAAAGAAATATACTAAAATGAATTAAGCCTATTGAAACACCCCAGTGTTTAAGTGGTCTTTAAGTGATTATCGTGCACACAGTGAACGCATGGCCCCACTGAACGAATATAGCTTTATTCTGCTCACTATTCGTCAATACGCAAAAAAAAACTAAATTTAAATCTGACATCAAATGAACTTTATATGATCCGGCCTTGTAACAACATTTGGTCATTGGTTAGATAAATCATAAATTTTCGTTCCTGCATGCAGTATCAAACGAATATTAGAGACATTTAGCTTGACGTTTACGACAACCCTCTAACGGCAAACAGAAAATATCATTTTGAATTTTCAAAACAAATGCTAGGTTTACGAGGCCGAGAAAATGGTGCATTATTTTTCAAACATAGAGCAACTACTGAGACAAAATTATTATGGCTGAGAAAGTGCCAAAAATCTAATTTTGAATGTTATTTGAAATTTGCCGCGTTTGCTCTTCCGTTTTGTCATATTGGTTAAGCTAAATGTCTCTATTATTTCTATTTCACGTCCAACAGAAGAAAGACAAAGCTTATTTTTATACCGTTACAGATGTAAGACTCTGATCTGATACTAAAAATCCCTCATGCACATTTTACTACCCGCTAAATTTCACCCCCTCCGATGGCAATCAAGAAAACTGGTAAAGTATGATTAACAGCATACTCGTTCGCTTTCGTTTCATAGTTTGACGTGATATTTAACCAGAAAAAGCTTGTTTACTTCGAAAAAGAGATTGTTGTGATCCGTGCAATTTCAATTCTGCATATTCAGAGTGATGAATTAAACAGATGAAATACACATATCACAAACTATTTCATACTCATGCATAACCAAATGTTTTAGTCACTGCGACGTGTTATAATTCAACGTATTGTTATCCCAACGTTGTTTCAAAATAATAACGTGCTATCAAACCCAATAGATGTCAAAGGTTTCCCTGAGATACTCTTCAGTATTGAGTAGGTACGAGCTGGCAATGTTATATTTACAAAACCTAGCAAGCTCGCAGACTAAATTAGGGGGCCGGAAATTTAAGGGGGAAAGGGTTATAGGATTAGGGTTAGGCTAACAAAACCTAGCGGATATTAATTTTATTTCTGGTTTTTATTCCACTTTGCTTATGGACAAGATAACCGGATTGCGGATATTGTTTGGAGTTTGAACTTTATGCATCTAGATGCATGAACATTTCTGTATTCTGTACAGAATACATCACCGTACGCCGTAATGCTATTGGGACAAATTAAAGGTTATCTCTATACAGTTTACCTTAATTGATCCAGAGAGATTACTCCGAAAGTGTACTTCTGTTTTAATTTTAGCGTTAAAAATCAACTTGTGACAAATCGTATGCTCTTGTGTTCGGAAGTCCAGTTTTATCAAAGCAAATCAGAAATATAGGCTATTATACATTCCATCTCCCTCACATAGTTCATAGTCTGGCATATTCCAATCATAATTCCTTTGAAGTCGCCGCTTTCAACTTCGCGATAAAAATAATTTTGAAGAAATTTAAAAAGCTTTTTCGTCGAATATTTGCTTCTGCACGACAAGAAGAAATTTGAGATACGATATTAGCACTGTATGCATCGAACGCACTTTGACAAGTTGTTAAATGCACTTATGATTATGTTAGATTTTATCTTTTAACATATGGCTAAATTTCATTGGTTATATCAATCATGCACATAGCATATCTTTGCTACTAGGGGTCCTTAACGACGTCATAAAAATGATAAACCCTGTGTCAAACGTAAATGCCTATATTGATGGGTTTGTACGTGTAACTGATCATAGTATACAGTTTTTATACAACAATGATTATCATTAGTACAACTCTATAGATCCAAGAACAAAGATTACTAACCGCAGAAATTGGGGAAAATACAGAGTTTGTTATCACGCGATGATCAGACTGGAACAATCTAGATGATACGATAAAATGTTCCGAAACCTTACATATTTTTAAGTGGTATTTTCTTAAATCGCTAAAAACCTGATTTTATTGGAAATAAAGATTTGTTGTAAATACAATTGCGTAGTTATATAATTTTATATATATAAGAAGTTTTCAAAATATAGTGCGGCTATCAACAATGTTATAAATGTCTATACGCCATTATCACTCAAAATGAATACAAAAGTTGCTTCGATTCAAGTGTCATTTTAGTCTCGGCGTATACCGAGAAATCTCGTCATTTCAACTTTATTTTTTGATTATGTAGTAAACATATATTTTTGGTACTCCTTGTGTTTGCAAAACGCTTTTAACGTTACAATTTTTTAGTACTTTTGCATGATGATATAACAGGTTTTGAGCACATATTACGAGACATAGAAAAATATCTCCTCCTAAATCTTTGTAAAGCATGATTTTATTCAGGACCTGTCTGAAAATCACGTTATGTGAGCACTGTTTTCGTGCCTAATAAAGATCTCCACCATTACTACAATAAATGAGCTACTAGCTTCCGTCTTTGACTGGGTATTGGCTGGTTTAAACCCAAACATAATACCTCCCGAAGATCATTTTGAAATAGTTCAGTTTTTAAATATTCATTTTAACGACTTATTTAGATAAGATTATCGGCCTTACGACAACTCTAATGGCCTTTTCATGCAATAAAATCACATACATTTAAGTAGCATACATTAAAATTTAAACTTCGTCCATGTTCTTAGTATAATACCGTATTTATACCAATATTTGTTTTTAGCGATTTGATTTTCCCCCAATTTGCAATATTCCTTCGGCTTTTCAAGATCATTTGCTTAATTCTTCGCCATGCAATGACTGGTTTTGAAGGGAAGTCCATTTAATGTAGTAAATTGCGGCGCCTAAGAAACTGTCATATCAGACCGGCTTCTTTTACAATCGAGTCAGATCTGCCATTTTTTTTCCAAGATTTAATCATTCTCGTGTCACTGTGCTCGTGTTTATTTTTCAAAAAAAGACTGTATAAGACGTATAAGACCAATTGCGAAACTTAGTAACCGCGCCTTCGCGCAACATGGAAAGGAGGCAAAGGAGGCTTATTATGCAAAAAACAATATTTGTACTTTTTGCAGTACAAAGTCAAAGCTATATATATTCGCCAAGTTATACGCCGGTTTTCGTCTTTGTTTTGCATATTTTTCGATACCTTTAAGCTTGGTTTCATCGTTTTTATCATAGTTTTCAGGTGAGGGAGTTTTGCCTTTTTAATTCAGGCGTTTTTGTGGTGTTTTTATTAATCTTTTCGGTTGCTTTCGTCGGGGAAATATGGAAAAGGCCGACACAAACTCAGGTAAAAATTTAGTTTTTTCCAAACTATTTCGTCTCGAGTTTTGAATTTTGAAAACTAAATTTTTACCTGAGTTTGTGTCGGTCTTTTCCATATTTCCCCGACGAAAGCAGCCAAAAGGATTAATGGAATAATGAAAACACAACAAAAACGCCTCAGTACCAGTGGAAATCCAAAACTCCCTCACTTGAAAATTATGAGAACAACGATGAAACCAAGCTTAAAAGTATTGAAAAATGTGTAAACCCAAGGCAAAAACCAGGATATAACCCGGCGAATAGCTTTGTACTGCAAAAAATACAAATATTATACACTTAATGTATGCTCCCGAGAGAAATAGTAAGTTTTATTTTCCCAAGAGTCTGAATGTTTCCCGCCGAGACGAAGTGGAGGGAAACATTTAAACTCGAGGGAAAACAAAGCTCACTATATCCCGAGATGTAGCGAACATTAACGCCTGTATTCAGAAAGCTCACTCACACTCATACTCATCGAGTGTGACATATAAATTTCGTAAATGCTGATCAATGAGAAAGTTTTCTCTGAATAGATGGAAAGATATAAGGTAAATCACTGAAAATCAAGCCCCTTTTCGGCTGGAAATACCGCCATTGAAACGTTATGAGAAGATTAAGATCTCCCACTCAATGAGTTTGAGTGTGAGTGAGCTTTTAGAATACAGGCGTAAGTTTTTTACAGATACGGTCGGGCGACAACTGAACGGCTGAACTCATGCCTTCGTTTCCGTCGTGCACACATTCGCGTCTCTTCGAAGCAAAACTTCCAAGAACGCCACGTTTTTGTTCGAAAGCCGCAAACCAAGGCAACAACTGATCGAGAGTAACCGCCTTCCCCACCACGTCGAGCAAATTTCGTTTTTAACTCATACTCATTCGCAGAGCACATAGTGTTATTCGACACATCATCCGCCTTGGATACGAAAGTTTACCTGGCTGGAACAAGCAGGAGCGTTTCGGCGTTTTTGCAAACATCCTTCTTAATTCTTACCAACCACGGACGCTACCTACTTTTCGACTCAACCATGCACGGCGATTTCGCCATTCGTTCCCTCTCGGCTCGAGCACAGCGACTTCGCAAATATGCATTGTACAGTTCACTATTTAAGTATTATAACGTCTTTTAGCGTCAACTAGTTATTTGTGAATTTAAAACCCTGACAGGCTGACAATATGTAAGTCTTTCACTCCTAGCAAAGGTCTAGGGTTAAAAGGAAATTGTCAAATAATTTTTAAATATTCGGAATACTCATGACCGATGAAGAACTTTATTCAACTAGGTTATCAATCATGCTTACGACTCCATCTCCTTATTGGTTTCAAGCAAATGATCCAAATTTAAATAAAAGATATTACGCGAAAAAAAATTAAAGCACCGTTCTAAAACGTGATTTTTACCTCGAAATATTTTTTGGCTATTTTTCGTCAATTTCAGTATTTTCTTTGAAATTTCGCTTATGTGCTTCTCACGTAATAATCCGAAGTCGCACGACCAATCAGATACCGGAATATTCTAAAAGATTTACTGATAAGTAGTGCGTGGTCCGTGTATGAATTGTCAGTTCCTCGAGTTCGTTTGAGTTATTGTTTATTAATTATGTTCATTGTCGTCGATCATTAATACAATATAAGAATTTGCATAACAATAAACCTGTTTAATGTATAATCAACATGTAGCGTTCGTGTGAGTGTTGTTTTAGGGCGGTATATAGCCATGCACTTGGTCTCTGAGAAAAAACAACGCACAATCATTAGAAATCCCTCCTCCTGACTGCACTCCTTTCACTTTTAAAAGGTAAGATATCGAGTATAGTAATTTTTGAGCAAAAGCATTGCTGTGTCTGTTTAACATGTAGGTTTCCTGAAATACATAGCCATACGCTAATATATGTAAGTCACTCGTATTTTGCGCATATTTGTTTCCATGTAATTTAGTTAACAAACATTCAAAATCTCGCCCATGGAAGAACATTTAGCTTACGAGCGTTAACTTATCCCGGAAACAAGTAATCCACTCACAAAAGTAAAAAGTTTGGGTAGTCAAAGAATTCCTCCCAAATAATTGATTCGCGTATTAGAAAAAAATCTACTCAATGATACCCGCTCTGCGATTGTATAATAACTCGATCAGGATGGCGTCTTGACGGCTATACCGAAAGCGTTGTATATCAATGATGTCAATGGTCATATTTCTCTTCGTAAGATTCAACTTGTTCTATATACTGAATTTTAGAGCAATTAAAAAATCAATATCCGTTGCATGGACTCTATCCAGCTTTCCCACATCCATGCATATCCCTCAAAACAAAAATAAAAAATATAAAGAGCTTTCACTTTTATAATACAGGCTTTTGGCTATTGTATAGCTTATTGCATGATAAACAGAACTTCAGCTCGGCCACTGTGGAACATAGCTAAACATATACATGCAGCCTTGAGGAATATCGCATGTATACAGTTATCACATGTAGACTTAAAATTAAATGTGAAATTTTACTTTTGTGTATATATGCATGGGCATGAAATATCAAGCTTGCATGGAATTATAATTAACAGGTTGATCGTATCGCCAAGGCTGTAAATGTCATCCAAGATATATGTATAATTTATAACGTCATATAGCGATATTGACTTCTTTTCAAATTAATATTTAAACCAAGTCCGCGTACAGTTTTGCCGACTGCATGTCACCAAGCTAAATTGTCCATGTAGCTATATGTTTATGGATATATATATATGTCTGCATGATGGGTATAAGATTTTTTTTCGTAGGAATACTATAACGTTAACATAGCCGATGACAATCTTAATCTCTACTTCAGTAAGAGATATTACAGCCTTTTATTCCAATTATTGAGTTTCCGTTACTCATTTAGGACACTTGAAAAGGCTCCTAGATTTTTCGATTATGCCTAACGCTATATATTGGCCACAATTAATCCAAGTTGTCCTTCGGTATCAATAATCCGTTGCCAATTTACATCGCGCCAATTTGCCTGGCGCGTTTAAATCGAAAATAAAAGCTGATCGTGACAGGTAGTCTTCATACAAAAGCATATAGCCTATGCAGCTAAGATATTTTAGTAAAGAACACAGTCAATCTATACGCCATTCTAACATCTGCCATTCTGACGTATTCCCATGCAATTCAACTCAATCTGCGTGCATGATAATTGCAGTTAAGTCTGCAACGAAAAATTGTATATAAATTTTTAAATTATATAGACACGCAGGCCAAAAAACTTCTCGGCGTTTCGACTATATAATAGGCAACAATTAATCTAAATTCGTGTGTCAATAATCCGTTTCCAATTTACATGGTGCCAATTTACCTGGCGCGTTTAAATGGAAAATAAAATATTTTTTAAGAGACCAACAATAAAGCTGATCGTGACAAGTCGTCTTCCGTATATTTTAGATTTACAGGTTTAGGCCCTATATACATACACTATATACCGGCCGGATTCGCATGGTCACGATATCAAAACTAGCTATGTCAGAGGCAGTTTTACTGAGTCCCCAAAAGTATATGATAGCATGATCTGCTAAATGAAAAAGTTCAGTTGCGTACACACTAGAGAAGTAGCGTGTATAAAACAACTTAAACTGATGTCGTTACGATGTGAATCCAACAGTGGTGTAGCCAAGCCTGCATGGCAATTTAATCATGCTATGCTATTTATATTTTGGTGTTCATTACCTGTGCATGAAAACAATCAAATGTGGTATAACAACTGCCGTCAGGAGAGTCATATGATACGAGAAGTGTTTTGCCCGTTTTAGGCAGTTGTTATACCACATTTGATGCTATAGAAGTTATTTGAAGACGCTGCCACGCTGCTCCCTGGTTATTGATTTAATAATTCTAATGACTTGAAATTTGTATAGTATGACCAAATTGTCAGGCTGGCTACGCCACTGCATGGAAGTCTGGAATATTATATAATTTATAATTTAATAAAAAAACTTTCGACCCATGGAGGCATTCGTTAGAAAAACCTAACTCTTGGCACACATGCATGTTAGGATCTTTGCAAGCATATGTTTGCAAAAAGATGGCAGGTAGACAAGGCTTATATAAACATGCAGTCACTTTTGTTGATTGTCATTATTCAAATTTTAAATTAAAACAAGTGTTTTACTTCCCTGCGGCCATTTGAAGATACATATGCAATAAACATAAAATTACCGCTTGATGTACTATAAGGATTAATAGCTATATAACCTGCATGATCATATAACTAAGGAGCAGCGTGCAGCATCTTTGGAAATATATATATTTTATAGGCGATTACGTAAATAGAATGTCGCACTGATATAATTATCAGTTAACTATCAGACAAGCTTTCGGCCATCCGTCTATTGTTTGTCCGTCTATTAGCTTTTAGGGAAAAGGTTGAAAAGTTGAAAATGCTTGCATGTAATATTTTGTTTGTTTATCTTTTCTGTTAAATTAGAGCACAATATATATCTTGATTTTTTTATCAGCTAACTTGTCGTTAACGAGGTTATTAGGCTATGTAATAATTACATGAGGTCATTAACGAAGTTTTTTAGTCACTATACAGGGTGTACAAAAAAAAAGGTAATCCAAATTCAACACGCTATTGTACGTGAACTACTCGTGAATTTTTTTCACATTCGGAAAGATCAGGCTTTTAACTATGGATGACATGTTTTTAATACCAAATGCTGAAAAAGTGAGCACATACGAGGCTGATAAAAAATGTTAGTCGCAATCGCATATTTTCACCTTTCAGCCTAATTAAAGCAGTGAATAACAAAAGAAAAAACAATTCATCACGAACATGTCACAGCTTGCACTGGCTTTATGCCGCATTGCCCGGAATGTTCTCATGATCTGATTTATTCCTACTTAATACGCATATGCGGGTAGTTTATTCAAAAGCAAAATCCTTCAATTAAGTCCCCAAGAGAGTTAATTTTCAATGGTTTTAGTCCTAACTCTCAGAGGTGAAAATATGTGATTTTGACTAACACCTTTTATCAGCCTCCTATTTGATCAGTTTTTTACCATTTGGTATAAAAAACATGTCATTTGATAGTTAAAAGCCTAACCTTTTTTAATGTGAAAAAATTTCGTTAATAGAATGAGTAGTTCACGTACAATAGCGCACCAAAGTTGGATTACCTTTTTTTTATACACCCTGTATAATTTAGTATATATTTCGAGGTGACTATTGATTTTCCTGCATTCTGATTCGTCAAGATTTGCTGTCTCTGAAGCGATAGTAACTGGTCGGTGAATATAGCTTTTTGGTCTTGTTTTTTAGATAAGTTATTTTAAGTAATTATAAATTTTTATGTTGATTATTATTTGCTGTGAATATTGGCTGTAATCAACTCGCCTTCGGCGACAAATTGTTAAATAGTGTCTCAATAGTAGACACATGCTCTTACACCTGGCTTATACGTAATGTTTACAACACGAGCGGCCGTGTTCAATAGATATGCCTGATTCAGTTACAAATACTAGTGGTTGTATTTTTTCGATACAACCACAAGTAGTGTTTGAAACTGATTTGCATATTTATGAGTCTCATTTGTACGGGGTATACAGGGTGTGCGTGTGACCAAAATCACGAAATTTAGTTGGGTATAAATAGTTAATGATAATTATTCATCAATCTCCTATCGACTTTTGTACATCATATTGTACAGACGGCGAGTTTATGCCTGAGCCTTTACTGAAATGTCTGAAGGCTCTTCTGTTACAGATACGATCATTTAAGCAACACAAAGCAATACCTAATTAAGATCCAAAAGTAAGAGGTATTATTGTTTATAATGATTATTTATACTAAAAGTACATAAATGCAGGAACCCCTCACTATTTCCTACCAAGTAAAGAGTTGCTTGGTTTTCATATTATTTCACTTTTTTTGTTATTGCATTTTTTTGTTATTGCAAATACAATAATAATAGTTTATGCAGCTTATTCTTTTTGATAATTATAATAAATAACTATAATAATAATTAACAACTTATTAATTATCATATTATCCCAATAAATATCACCTGTGACCCAAAAAACATATAGTACACATGAATTATTTTTCTGTGAAAAGCAAAAAGAAATCGTTTCTATATAGTTTAATTACTAACATTTTTGAAGGAAGCACAAATTCAGTGCATGCGCATATAACTAGCAAAACCATCCCAGACATTCCATGACCACATAGAATTTGGACGGCTTTGGATTCCGCTAGTTCTGTCACAATACTCCTAATCCTACTGAATATTCGGGCGGTATTATTACCCTCACAAGGCGCTCGAGGATTAACTTGAGGATTATGATCATTATATTGTACATGTATTATCAGTATTTGATCACTAAAACACGTGAAAGAGCTTCAAAATAGGCTAATACGGCTTAATTCTCGTATATTCAGTACTTAAGCTGATATCATAAATATCACGCAAATTTTCATTCGAATCTTTTTGTGCATGCTGGAGAATCCGACAGATATATGAAATATATTTATAAAATTTCAATATAGCATGCAATCATGCTGTTAGATGAATTGAATTAAGTACAGGCTGTACAGCAAGACTTTCGCAAATCATAAGCTTGCTCAGTGTATATAAACTGTGATATAGTTACTAGTTTCTACGCGCATTGATTAGTATCGCATTGTTCGTTAACCCGAGGGAATGAATGAAATCGGAAATCGGTCTACCTTTGTAAAGGCGACTTTAAGCCCGGATAATAAAGAAAATCTAGCCGAAAATCACGCCAGTCCGATCACGCTTGACCACTTTTAGACCGCTTGTTCCTTTGGTAAAAATTAATCTATTTGAAAATTGCATAAAATTAACTAAAACAAATTGGCAATGAAACAAAGAGACTTATGGGTATATATTTCCCTCATTTTGTTCCCTCATTATAAGTTTATCATTATTGGGTATTATCTCTATATATATAATTATATATATATATTATATTATTTATCTATATAACGAAGTGCATGCTGCATGCAGCAAATATAGGAAAACCAGTTTTTGAAAACTGTCCGGACAGCCGGGTTAGGAAAACCTTGAACTTAATTACATCAAATTTCATTCCGTTATCCTCAGTTGAATTTTGTTCAATAGCCTACTCAAAGGCTTCATAAGAATTTCTGTATACCTTCCACATCATGACAAAAAGAACTTTGAAATTTGCTTGAAAATATTGCCTTACGGGACTGAACATTTTCGAAAATTACATCTGTAATTATGAGATAATTAATTAAAATATCTTTCTTGACGCATGAGAACTCTACTAATGGAGAAAGTGCACGATAGATAGTGAAATAAATTTCGAAATTCGAATCAATTTCGATTCATATTCAGTAGAGTTCAACAAGATATTTTTCCAGTATAATATCTATTGAACATATTGTGTATATAGGCTTTAATTCCCCAAACAGCTAGCGCAAAATGACTATGGCAGGCAATAGTATTCTATTCATTTTACCTGTCAAAACGTCCAACCGTATTGTTAAGGCACTTGTGATATCATTACATTAGGTCAGAACTGATTATTTCATTTGGAACAAAAGATGATTCATGAGTTATCATAACCACTGAAACTATATAACTTTGTCGGTGCCATATTCCAACAAGGCTTTATGATCGCAAAGAATTACTTTATACATTTGCATTTTACTTATTTTCTTTAATGACGCCGCATTACGTTAAAAAATATTAATAAGGCATAGTTACATGTCAAAGCCTGATTTTTTTTCCGCGGAGGAGAAGATATATAGGATCTACATTCTTCATGTCATTTTAATTTACCAAGCGATATTATGGCATATAATGTATCGAATGGGGCCAAGTGGAATTTGTATTCAATTTCACGCTTGAAATTTCAAAAAAATTGAAATTTTTACAGCACAAGTAGTTTATAAAATTAGCACGAGTTTTATGAGGACTCAATGCTAGAAATGGGGCGAAACTCATTCAAACATAATAGCCCCTCATGCAGGGGAAACAGTTAAACATTGAAGCCGAGAACAAGTCATTCCGAACCGAACAATCTTTTTTTATATCTTGCCTACTATAATCCTGTTATTTACCTTTTAGCTATATGCCCATATTGGATAAACAAAGTGCATGATTTACAACGACGTAAACATGGGAGTCAAATTATTAAGGCGTAGTTACACAGAGTTATGGAAAGAGAATCGGCTTTAACATGCGCTGGAGTAGCCACAAACACCGCGCCGATGGGGCATGTCTTAGCCAATCAATTGGAAGTATTTTTGCCTGTAATTTGCCCCGACTTGAGGAAAAATCCCCTATGGTTGAGTCATCAAGCACGTTCGAGATATTTTACTCTCGATACTTTTTCAACAAATTAAGGACCATGAGAATGTTAAAGAACGCACATGCATGCGTGTATTTTATCATTTTTTATCAAACCTACCTTAGTGTAGAATGGCTTCCGGCACAACCTCATGCACTGCACTGATGCAGTAGCTGTATCTCTTTATATATGCCCTTTACTAGGAACTTGAACGAAAGAATTTTAACTCTGTTTCTATAACAAAATGTGTAACGCAGAAATAATCCGAACAGGTCGTACAGGTGGCCGAAAGCTTAAGTATAAATGCATTGACAACTCGACGCACTCGTGAGAGAATTTGCACTTTTTTTAAGCGGCGCAAAAAATAGAAAAAAATGAGCAAACTACTTAGTGTAAAGGATGCAGGACTATAACTCATCAGCGAGGTTTGAGAGACGCACAGCCCTCCAATGCTAAAAGTCTGTACCCTCTCCTGAACTTACCACCCCCGTCAACCCACCTCCGGCCGCGCCGCGGCCGTGATCAAAAGCGGCTGTAAAAATTGATGTTTTTGGCATGGAACATTTGCTGTTATTGGAATATCAAATGAGCAACAGGTCAAACGATCCTTTTATAGTAGCTGCATGCCTCCGACAATGACTCTCAATGGCTTTATCATCGCTGAAATATAGTATGATTAATGACTATCTATTTTATTTCTTACTTACAGTATTTTAATCTATCAGGTGAATACTTTCATAGGCAAACGTAAGCGGCATCGCCCAGAATTAGTACATCATAACGATATCCTAGCTATTGTCCGTGAATATTATCCTAGTACCGTAATATTATCAGAGAGAAGATCCAACATACCTCCCAACTACACGCATTGCCAACTTAAACAAAAAGGACAATCGAAGCGTTTCCGGTCGTGACGTCATCTGATTTCTATACAATGCCTCAAATTTTAAAGCACTTTACACTATGAGAACCAACCTCGTACGAGGTTGCATGAGAACTCGTATTTGGTAACAAGTGTGTTGCTAATGCATGTAATTTCATCATTAAAACAATTACTCAAGCTCGCATTTAGGAAATTGCCTTTATGTATAGGTTCAAATAATGACACATATTAACAGCATAATAATTAGCTGTAGTATATAACACGTAGATAAAATAACATACAGTGCATGCGATAGATCGTAAAATAGCAATGGACTGTTAGGCATTTTCCCACTGTACATTTTATAGCATGTTAACCACGAGTTTTGACTCAAAAACGACCTCAAGTGCACATAGCCTTTTTTTAGCTACCTATCTCTTATAGAAACGTGATGAAAAGCTTCGAGCGCAGCTTGGCCGGACGTTCTACATATGGTCCTATTTAGTAGTAGCCAGCCCGACAATTTAGTCATGCTACGCTAATATTTTGGTGTTTATTGATTGTGAAAACAATGAATTTTTACAGAAATGAATAATGATAATAACATAAAATTTGCATAGCATGACGAACGCCTGCATTCTAAAAGCTCACTCACACTCAAACTCATTGAGTGGGAGAACTTAATCTTCTCATAACGTTTCAATGGCGGTATTTCCAGCCGAACAGGGGCTTGATTTTCAGTGATTTATCTTATATCTTTCCATCTATTCGGAAAAAAACTTTCTCATTGATCAACATTAACGAAATTTATATGTCACACTCGATGAGTATGAGTGTGAGTGAGCTTTTTGAATACAGGCGTGAATCGTCAGGCTGGCTACGCCGTTCGTCGCTTTCAGATCATTTTTCCTCGAATAAACCGCCACAGAAAACTTCCACTTATATCCACCTTTTCAGTAAGCAGAATTCCCGAGTTGAAAATAGTAAATTGTCCGCGGGACTCTTTTGTGTTAGGCTCGTTGATAATTACCCTGGTGCCATACAAGTCGCGTAATTGCTAACAATATTACGTTTTTCCCTGAATCACCTGTCTCACTTCTGTCTCACTCGATTGGGCAAAAGTTTAAAATCCTGTCTACTGGCATGCGTGATTGTTATCCGCATATATCTGTCGGAAGCTGTCGAATATATTTCGAGTCAATTCTATTCAGAGCTAAATACATTTGCCATTTGTGAATGCATGGAAAACGTAATAACACTGTCATCTATAAATGGAAATTCATTCATTAAATATTGTCTTAGTTCCTGAACTTTGCCTTCTTCGTTCATTGGTTCTGACTCAGGGCACGCATGCATGGATGTTGATGCATTTGCACAATCCTGTTCCACAATTTGATTCTGTGTGTCAAGAAATGTGAGAATAAATCCCCTTGTAATATTGGGCCATACCTTGGCAATATCAACATGCATAGCCATAGGAAGCCTGAATCGGAATGGTTAATAAAACATTCGACGTCATTTTAATTAAGCCTGAATATTAATTCCGCATATTAATGACTGGATAATTATATTGTTCCCCTGCAGAGATCGAGACAAAACAGATCAGTGACAGAGCGGCAGAGCACAACTATAATTTGTTGACGGGGAAATGTCACGAAAAGTTCTTGCCTGGTTGATCGCGTTTTCTACCATCTATCATGCTGTTGCTGATATCTCAGCTGTGGTTTATGATCAGCAGTATGGCTCGTGGGAATCGAAATTGTACTTCAAATATATTGCACATGTTCAAGGCCAAAGTCAAGGGGTGAAATGGACAACACGATATGCCATTTCTAACCATCCGAGTGACTTTTCTCACGGTGAGTGAAAGTGTCTGTTTCAATTACGATTTAGCCATCGATCATTCGAATTTTTAAATTGAGGCTGAAAGAATATAATAAGGGATAGAGCTCTTTGAGTTTAGACTTAATTTGAGTATGTTTATTCATATGGTTTATTCTACGGTGATGTTCATAAATTAAATGTTTGTTTAACACATCTGTGCGGTAAACTGTGGTGTGGGATATTACTGATGATAAACAAGACGCCTGCTCTGGCGTTAAGTAAAGACCCTGGGTACGAGGTTGGCGTTAACTCCGGCGTGCCGCACGGCCCAGTCTCGAATATAAAGCTTCAGAACATAAACACTACAGTTTATACTCATTGATTTAGAAGCCTTGCGAACCTAAATGTTGTTCGACACTCAGAAGCACATCGTACTTTAAAAAGTATAGAAGTTCAGCGAAATTATTAAAATAGAGCCAGAATCTACATGTATCAAAATATATTCTCACCCCAATTAAACCTAAACTAAATCGAACAGCATCAAAAGAACGGTTTATTCGAGGAACTTCCGTATCATGCGAGCGAAATCAAATCGCGCATCGGAAATTCGTCAAAGATTTTGTGCTGGACACCACCACTCTTGCGAGACAAAACTGTGACGTAGACGATCACATACGCTCTTCAATCAGCGTCGCACCCAGTCAAGTGCATGCTGGGTACAATTGAGCATTTAAGTATTTAAATACTGGTATATTTCGCGTTAAAATACACTTGCGACGACGAAAAATAATAAAAACAAACAAATCAAAACCTAGGCGAATTTTCAACTTCGTCGCTGATGTCGGAATAACAAGATGCCTGCTAGGCATTAGCCGGCGAGTAACAGAATCAATTATATACGCGAGGTAAAGCGCCCGTCGTGTGTATTTGTATGTAACGTGATCGTGAAGAAAAGAATGGCACTTTCCAACCACATTATTTCACCGATTCTCGGAAAGAAACGATGCAGAATCAAAGATGAGGCAGAATTGCCTTCGACGACAGTTTATTATTTGCTTCCTTTGCATGCGTAACGAAAAGCAAAATAGTTTATAAAATGAAACTTGATTACGAAATCATCCTCAACCTTGAAGCCTATGCAACAAATGCGCAATAAATGCACACTGATAAATGCACAGTCTTTTAGTTCAACTGACGGTTTACCCCTGCATTCATGCACGTTTAAAATTTAGTGCCCCCGCAACGCCAGCTGCGATTGCTTCCCATATTGAAGAGGTAAAATTTTCACATTACCGTCGTTAGATTTAAAAAACTCGTTTTGAAAACTTTTGAAAAATTCAGTGTGTATATAGCGGAACTAACGTGCATGCAACGTGCAGTTCTGGCCCAAATTTCATGCAGTATATATATAACTATGCTTTTCTCACCTATATTGTTCATGCACTGGTGAACAAAAGATCTCACTATATTTCCTCCAACCTTTACCCTATCTAATCACCTCTAATACCTCTAAGACCTAGGGCTAGGTTTAGAAATAAATATCGAATTGAACTTGTCTTATATTAACACAGACTATTTCTGCTGCAATTTTCCAAATAATTTCTAATAAAAAGTTGCAGGGCCAACATGAACGCAGAAACCATCATGCTCTGCCGTATCACCCTGTCAAATTTGGCCCATCTTTTTGTCTCTAATTTGACCAATACTATAAAGAAAGCATGCCACTGCGAAAGGGGTGAATTTAGAATAGCCGCAATATAGATTTTATTTCACAAATTACTACACTTAACTTTTTATCAGTATAACTTGTGTTCCATTTTTTTTTCATAGATTATAGGCCAAAGGTTCTTCAACGCGTATTCCTAGCTTACACATGAAGCTAGATATTTATTGCATTATTGTACGCCCAGACGTAACCTCGTATTCGGTTTTCACTTTACTCCGATAATATATCATTATTTGGCCACAAACACATGACGTGAGCATTCATCACACCGTACTCAGATGTCTATATCGCGATACCGTGGTGAAATTAGCCTTTTTATATGAGTCTCCCTTTCGCACAGATGTTTGCAGCGGAAACAATGATTTCGCGTATTCGATGTCATATTTGTAACGAAATCTTAAGAGCATCAGTATATATAAGATGATATCTCTCCATGGCTCCGTGTGATTTATAGTTTAGGAAACATTAAAATTATGTGCTTCTGTTCCTTTCTTTCTGTTCTCTATACTACTTTATTTTTTTTAAATAACTTGTTTACCTAACGAAAACAGTTTCTAGGCGAATTAAATAATATTCCATCATTTACCTTAAAAAAACATGGCCTAATGAGAAACAATGTTTTCGTTGCAACAATTACTTCCTCACGCCGTCCGACAGTTATTTTTGTGTTTGTGCATGAATATTAATAATAATTGGCTATCTTCTGTACACCTCTGCATGCATGGCAGCTATATATAAATATAAAAAACATATTCTCCCTTTTCTCTATGATTGCATTGGTTCTATATATACGAGCCACGAATATTTCTCGACAAAACTCGAGCCCGTCAAAATTTCAGGCTAATTGATTTTCAAGGATGCAATCATGCAAACAAATGAATTATTATTCTCATTTATATATTATATGCAAAACAACTATAAATTTGCGATGATTATTCACGCACGTTTTGTGCATTTATGAAATTTTTAAAGTGTTTTTCACCTTTTTCGTCCATCAATTCAAGTCCGTCAAGCAAGCTAATAAAGCGATTTTTTAAATAAATATAAGTGGATTGAGATCAGGAATCATTTGATCCCATTCTGCTATTCGAGGTCCATTCTCGCGTCTGCTCTTTGGGCTCATCTGAATTTCGCGTCTACACAACAAAAATTAGGGATATATACCGTGCCCAATGGTCCTCGGGCCTAACTTTAAGTGGCCCGTGCAAAAAATGCATGTCGTGTAAATGAGGCTTATGCATATCATTTCACTCCGGCGAACCGCGGGCTTTAACATTATAGTTCCAGTGTAATCAAATGAGTATAGAAATACATGTTCAGACTACAGTTCGGACCCGTTATTATCTGGAAAAGATATATCTGCATGTATAATATGTTTCAGTGATATGATCTTAGTGACCTCTCGAACATTTGAAGATCGCAAATTTAAAATTTATGATGTAAAAAAGTTTGAAAGCCGAATAAATTTACGTGCATGGCTTAAAACATCAATATGTAACATTCTAATGCTACGTGTCATTTTAATATAGTATTCTTTTAAATGAAAATTTTTACAGTCGAAACTGACGTGGAAAAATCTAACTTGTATTTAGCTGAAACAAACATAAAAATCGCCAGATCAAGTAAAGCAGGATAACATATATTCGAATGGCAGTTGGCCAAAAAATAAATGAGCAGCATAGGTAGAATTTGAACATCCTCGAGTGTACGCCTGAATTAAAAAGGAACTTATGATGCCTGGGGAATGCATGATTCAAACAAAAATTTGATCAGCCTCTCTGGAATACATGTACAAATAGCGCGAATTAGCCTTTCTCACGATGACGAATATGCGCCATGTTTGGGGTACTTTTTTCAAAAACCGTGAGCGTAAGACTTGGTAACGGCGACTGTCTTTAATTTTAGGCTGAATTTATTCTTCTAAAGGTCTATTTATTCTAAAAAAATTGCTTTTGATGTTTAAACATAATTTTTAAATCCATTTCAGAAACTGATTGAAAGTACCCCAAAACGTCATCGTGAGAAAGGCTAATTATCACCAATTCTGAGAGGACTGATTCCATGCGACTACAATTCACGTCCCGGCTGCCTGTGTTGACAATTAAGACATTTTACTATTGCCCTTTATTTCTTTGTTTTGTTTTGTATTGTTTTACATTACCCCGAGTTTATACCAATTATAACTTAGATTTCATCTTTACAGAATTTGATCATGATATTGCGAATAATGAAGAGATATTCAGGACACGACACCTTTTGAGTAACCACAACAATGGCTCGACAAACGGTTTGTGCAAACTATATAAAGTACATATACATAATTATACGTACATGATTAAATGTCACCGCGCAAGCTTTGATATGACCATGTGGCGGTGGGGGTGGCGCTATCGTTACACATTGCAAAATCAGCAATTTGTGCGAAGTTTTCAGTTCTGAGAGAAGTTTCGAAAACAAATGAACAAGCGAAAATAACTTCGGAATTATTATAGCTACATACTGGAGACCGATTCAAGAATAGCCATGAGAGCCAAATTGCCATGCCAGCCAAATTGCCATGCAAAAGCCAGAACCCGCAGTCCTTAACGTTTGAACTTGAAACTTTTGGTCTGTTCAAGTATCTAATTTCTCGGTCATGTATATTGAAATGTAACGGCAACATACGCGTACATATAGAAAGAACGTTGACAAATCCCTCTTGGTACACGACAACCGAGTTGTGTCGTGGTGCCCCAGGGGGACAACCTATTCACCTGGGATCAGTTGGTTACTTGGTTACTTGCATGGTCTTGGTTTTTATATAGTAGATATCCCCTACGATCTATCCAACGATCTATCCGTATCGAAACAACAAAAATATCACTTTACGCTCATGGTACGCCGCGTACGCCGCTTGGAAAGAAAATGCACTTAGATAAAAACAGATTGTCGGAAATTCGGGACCTTCTGTGTGACTTCTAGGGCCATATCAAAACCAGATAGCGCTATATCCACCGGATAGTGATTTTTTAAACTTCGTAGAACTGTCCGTTGTTCAGTATAACATGGATTAAGTCTTATATTAGTTATAAACTGACGTTTCTGTCATTAAATGTGGGATTTATATTCGTAGATTAAAGCTTTTCAAACATTTTTATGACAGGTAAAAAATTGACTATCCGGTGGAAATGTGCTATCCGGCCTTGATACCGGCCCCTGATTGTTGTTACAATAACCTGTTTTTTACTAAAGTTTTTCTTCTCTTTCTGTCTTGACATGTAGCAACGTTCTTTCAACCTGCTAGTCTGAGTCGGAGTCAAAAGATAGCTTTTACATTGGGATACATCTTCGTTCTTTTTATTGGTTCATTTGGCAGTCTCCTTATTTTGGTTGTCATAGCAACGAACAAAGAACTTCGCAACAACCTCAACTTTTTGCTATGTCATCTAGTGGTCGTTGATTTGCTGCGCATGCTCATCACTACATCCTTCGAGTTGTTTATGATAAATGAAATCGGCAATGCAATTTCAAGTATCCCTGCTGATCCAGGAGTATCTGGAAGCATGTTTTGCAAATCTATGTTCGCTTTGCCACCGACTTTCAATTACGCTTTTGTTTTCACTCTAATATGTATGACTTGCGAGCGTTTTGTCGCCGTTATTTTTCCCTTTCACGTGTCAATATTCAAAAACAAAAGTAAATGGATTATACTATGCGTATGGCTTGCATCAATCATTCTTGGAATTCCTAGTTTGTACGCATTCGACTCATTGCCTTTTCCTGGAAGTGATGACCATGTTTGTGGAATAGATTTCAGCCCGTATTGTGATGGAAATGGATTCCAAGACTGGAAATGCACCTTGAAAATGTTTAAAAGGTCGCTAAGTGCCGCCATTTATATAACATTTGTGATCGCATTCTTGCTTATACTAATTCTACACGCTTTAATTGCGATTGTTCTCTATAAACGCCGCCCAAAATTTGACACAGAATCTTCGTGCGTTTCCAAAAGTGTCGCGCATTCCAGGCGTGACGTGGTGCGCATGCTTGGTGTTGTGTCGATTGTTTACGTGGTAACCTCATTGCCTGGTCAAATATACCAATTTGGTTATATCTACAACACCGCCTGGCTAAACAAATCTATGCCAACGTACTTCAACTTTTTGCTAATTTTCTTGGGAAATTCGCATACCATGTTCTACCCATGGATCTACCCTCTCTTTGTCAAGCGTTTTCGCCAGAAATATTCCAAGATATTTCGAACGAATTTGCTGTGCAACCAAGCACAAAGTCGGTCCGATGCATCAACGAGGTCTGGAAGAACAACCATGGTTACCAACGATGTAGTCACCAATCAATTGTTATGTAAGAATTCAAAAGAAACTCAATTTTAACGTTCTGCTGAGCAGATAGACCATAATAGTATGCCGTGCATTGTATAATTTTAAACACCATGCACTACTTTCATCGTCTTGCTTGTTGCAATGAAATAGAAAAATTTGAAAGAATTGAAAAACTTAAAAGATTTTTACGAATGTACGGTCGGTTGTACGAATGTTAGATAGCGACATCCGCTAGATATTGAATTTTCAAGCGCTGTAAAGATGCTAAAAAGCAGCAGTTCTAAGGAGACTAAGCTGCATGACTGTTATAAATACTAAAGTTTAATCACGATTTCAATTCTACCTTTCAATTCTTATGAAGTGTAGACTTTATGCCAATCAAATCATTGTATACACTGACTGGTATTTTCCGCATCAGTCTTCAAGACAGAATGCCACGAGAGTCTTTTGCTTTGTTTCTTGTTTTTTTGAACCTTGATTTCTCTGTGATTTGTGATCGGCAGTATGATCAAAAGAAACAAAAACTGCATTCAAGGGTAAAAAAATATTGGCGTTGTTACAGAAAAGGCGAGATTGACGCATTTTCAAGGACATATAATTATAAGACTCCCAAATTTCAAATTGACTTTTATCGTGGTGAGTGTCGACAGCATTAGTTTTGAATTATATACGTGAAATAGTGAAGGCTCAGTTGAAATGAGTGGGACTTATATTTTTAAGCTACGTTGGACTTTATTCTTTAAACGATGTAAAAAGTGAGACTTTAGATCTCAATTAAGCTACAGGTATAGGTTCAGTGCTGCGTTCGTGCGTGCACGCTTGAAATTATTAAAATACGCAATTAACTGCTTATAAGAATATTAAGTTCTCGTAAGTGACCTTTCATTTAATCGGCTTTCAATCTGTTCCGTGTAAAATTATTCCCCAGTGTTGTTTTGAATCCGTACTGGCTTACGAAAAGCGAAATATTGTAGTTTGTAAAAGTACAGCTTGAATTTGATATGTCTTGCTATGACTGGCAAAATCTTTGATGTAGCGTAAATAGTATTTGCCGAATACCTAATTTTTATCAGAGCCTAGAGTAGCCGTAGGGTAACCTTATACTATTACTTTAAGAAATAATTACTGTAAATAGCAAAAATTATTGAAAATTGAAGTTCACAATCTAAACTTTCATATTCCCCTCAAACATGACGACATTAATGTCGGCGAACGTTGCCAAAATACGATGTCCATCGAGTTGTTACTGCAAAGAATAATAGAATAAAATTTCACTTCTTATCTAATCGAAAATTGTAAGGTGAATCTCACCATTCGGAATCCATTAATTACTTCATCGATTATTAATACTATAATATTTCGTATACAATGTTCACATTTTGTATATTCTACATCCAAGCTTTTATATTTTGTCTATAAATCTGGCTTGCATGCAAAATACTGTAGTAATAAATTTACAACAATGCTCTACAAATAAATTTCTTGCACCTGTTGATGTGCAACTGTGAAATTGTAAAACTCTGTTCCCTGACCCTATACTACGAACCATTTCATAATTGGGTTTTCTCTGGTATGCAGTGATTATTCATGGATTTGAGTGCCCCAATTTTATCTTTTCAGGATTTGTACTTGATTACGAAAATGAGTGTGAGTGAGCTTTTAGAACACAGGCGTAATTGTTTTTAACCTTAATACAAAGATACTGCATGTTTACAACTACATATTCAGTGCATAATATTGAAGTTGACTCATTCAAGAGATATGTAAGAATAATATTTAATTTTGACTTATCAACCGTTTAAGCTCAACGGGCTTCATACAACCGGCCCCTGACGAAAAGTGCTCATACCTTGGAATAATTTACTGCCCGATTCTTTCATAAAGAGCAGGAGTTGGCTTCTTCGCTCCCGTGCAAGCAATCGATATGCATGTTAATTTGAAATGGGAAATTAGTACCATAGAAGTAATAGACATAATAAATCTATTATTTCTATAGAAAATACTTTATTTCGGATATTCACAATAGTATAACCGTTTAGAATACACAGTTGTTATCTACCCACTCAAATTTGTAGCCCCGTGCTGGCCGTGCACGAACCCACGCATGTCGAATTACATATCATTCTCCTATATTACCTTGACCAGTCAATAGCTAACCTCGTACCCAAGGTATTTTCTCTGTCACAGAGAAAACACCCTGGGTACGAGGTTGGTCAATAGCGTGGTATACTTAAATTTACCTTTCTGGCCAACAAATACCCAGAACTTGTTCGTCAGCCATTTGTGGCTGTGATTCAAGCCTCCAACAAAGTAGTTGATTGACTGGATTTAAACGTCGAAACAAGGAAAAGGAATTTGCAATTTACTGATATGAATAGAACAAGAGACACAATATAGCTATTTAGCTATAAAGAAAAACCCTAAAGTTAAAAGTTTGCATGTGTTGGAGAATATTATTGTCGATCATCAGCATTGAAGTTTTAATAATAAAATTTTTGTGATTGGTCGTTTAAAAACCTACCTTTCAATTCTTATGAAGTGTAGACTTTATGCCCATCAAATCATTGTACACAGGTATTTTGATATTATTTGGTGCGTCATTTTCTGGGTATTTGCCAAAAATGCTTCATATCTCGTCACGTAACTATTGCATTCTTGTCACGTTAGAAATAGCTTCGTCCGGTTCAGATGTTCATACAGTATTAAGAATAGCTGAATATAAGCACAACTGCATCAGCGTTGAAGACAGAATGCCACGAGAATCACTTGCTTTGTTTCTTGTTTTTTTGAATTTTGATTTCTCTGTGATTTGTGATCGGCAGCATGATCAAAACAAACCAAAACTGCATCCAAGGGTAAGAAATATTGGCGTTGGTACAGAAAAGGCGAGATTGATGCATTTTCAAGGATATAAGACTCCAAACTTCCAAAATTACTTTTATCGTGGTGAGTGACAGCATCGCTTTTGAATTATATGCGTGAAATAGTGAATAAGGTTGAGTTGAAATGAGTGTGGACTTATATATATTTTTAAGCTACGTTGGACTTTATACTTTAAACGATATAAAAAGCTATGTGAGACTTTAGATCTCAATTAAGCTACAGGTAGGTTTATAGCTATCCAGCCTTTGTAAAACCGGCCATACGTAGTAGCAGAGATGATTCAATGCATGCTTTGAAAATGTTCAGTGCTACGTTCTTGCGTGTACGCTTGAAATTATTAAAATACGCAATTAACTGCACCCTTCGAGTGCTAATAAGAATATCAAGTTCTTGTAAGTGACGTAAATGACTTTTCATTTAATCGGCTTTCAATCTGTTCAGTAAAAAATTATTTCCCAGCATGTTGTTTTGAATGCGTACTGGCTTACGAAAAGCGAAATATTGTAGTTGGTCAAAGTACAGCTTGAATTTGATATGTCTTGCCATGATTGGCAAAATATTTTGATGTAGCATAAATAGTATATTAATTTTGACGAATGCTTAATTTTTATTTGAGCTTAGAGTGGGGTAACCTTATACTATTACTTCAAGAAATAATTAAGTAGCAAAAATTATTGAAAATTGAGGCTAAGTTCACATTCTAAACTTTCATTTTCACCCAACCTCGTTTCCAGGGTCTTCTTCTGTGTTCATTGCTTTGATTTTCACCCTGCAACATGACGACATTAATGTCGGCGAACCGCGTTGCCAAAATACGATGTCTATCGAGGTTTAATTGCAAAGAATTATCGAATGAAAATTCACTTCTTATCCAATCGAAAATTATAAGGTGAATCTCACCATTCGGAATCCATTAATTACTTCATCGACTGTTAACACTACTAATGTTTCGTACAACGTTCACATTTTGTATATTCTACATCCAAGCTTTATATTTGGTCTATAATTTGTTTGCATGCAAAATGCCATAGTAATAAATTTACAACAATGCTCTACAAATAAATGTCTTGCACCTGTTGACTTGAGGTGCAACTGTGAAATTGTAAAACTCTGTTTCCTATACTACAAACCATTTGGGCTTTTTTCTGGTATGCAGTGATTATTCATAGATCTGAGTGCCCCAATTTTATCTTTTCAGGATTTGTACTTGATTACGAAAATAATGAAGAGATATTCATGACACGACACCTCATGAGTAACAGCAACAACGGCTCGACAAAAGGTTTGTGTAAATTATAAGGTACCTATATACAAGTCACAGCATTCCCATCAATGACGGAAATTTCGATGGTATGGTGGGTGTCCCCAGTCTTCCCCCACAGTTTCAGGCCCCTAAACATCAAAATCACGCGGTTTGTACGTCACTCAATGCAAGACTCAATGTGATTACATTTGGGAACAAACCACTGAAAGACGTGTCTAAAATCTACTGCATTGAGAGTTTGAGATTGAATTGCGAAAGAAGCGTGAGGAAAACGTTTTCATTGTTAAACTTAAGGCGGATTTCCACTTACAGCGAAATCGTTCGCCAGCGAAATATTTGCATATTTTCTTTTGAATTTTAACAGCATAAATAAATTAATGCGACTCGACTGTTCCGAATTCAAAAGAAAATATGCAAATATTTCGCTAGCGAACGATTTCGCTGTAAGTGGAAATCCGCCTTTAGTCTAAAAATGCCGATATATTGCGTCGTTTTTTCGTGCAAAAGCGAATAGTACGTAGCTAGCAATTCTCGCTAGCTAATTTCGTTTCACAGTTTGGTATAAACTGACTTCGCCGTAGTCTATAAACTGACTTCGCCGTAGTTATCTAAAGTTCATATCTAAAGTGAAATTTTCCCGCTCAAAAGCGCCTTGCGTAATTTAAAACATTAAAATACTATTCAGCATATGACGGAGTCTTAATTTACGTTATATAAGTTGAAAAATTCTTTTCCCAGTAGATGCTTGCCCTATTTTATATTTTTTGTATACAATCACCTATCGGTAGAACAGCCCGTTAACATGCTTTTATACGCTGTAATGCTGAAATGCACTCGGATATCACAAACAAGAAATGAGTAATAACCGCCCAGGAGACTATGTCCGATATATGTCTTGACAAGTCTCGTTTTAAATTTTTTTCTCGTAGTTACGAAATCATCGAAACCTGCTAGTCTGACTCGGAGTCAAAAGATAGCTTTTACAGTGGGATACATTTTCGTTCTTCTGATTGGTTTATTTGGAAACGGGCTTATTCTGGTTGTCATAGCAACGGACAAAGAACTTCACAACAACCTCAACTTTTTGCTATGTCATCTAGTGGTCGTTGACTTGCTGCGCATGCTTATAACTACATCCTTCGAGTTGTTTATGATAAATGAAATCGGCAATGCAGTTTCGAGTATTCCCGCTGATCCAGGAGTGTCTGGAAGCATGTTTTGCAAATCTATGTTCGCTTTGCCACCGATTCTCAATTACGCTTTTGTTTTCACTCTAATATGTATGACTTGCGAGCGTTTTGTCGCCGTTATTTTTCCCTTTTATGTGTCGATATTCAAAAACAAAAGTAAATGGATTATACTATGCGTATGGCTTGCATCAATCATTCTTGGAATTCCAAGTTTGTACGCATTCGACTCATTGCCTTTTCCTAGAAGTGATGACCATGTTTGTGGAATAGATTTCAGCCCGTATTGTGATGGAAATGGATTCGAAGATTGGAAATGCACCTTGAAAATGTTTAAAAGGTCGCTAAGTGCCGCCATTTATATAACATTTGTGATCGCATTCTTGTTTATACTAATTCTACACGCTTTAATTGCGATTGTTCTCTGCAAATGCCGCCCAAAATTTGATACAGAGTCTTCGTACGTTTCCAAAAGTGTCGCGCATTCCAGGCGTGACGTGGTGCGCATGCTCGGTGTTGTGTCGATTGTCTACGTGGTAACCTCATTGCCGGCTCAAATATACCAATTTGGTTATATCTACAACACCGCCTGGCTAAACAAATCTATGCCAACGTACTTCAACTTTTTGCTAATTTTCTTGGGAAATTCGCATACCATGTTCTACCCATGGATCTACCCTCTCTTTGTCAAGCGTTTTCGCCAGAAATATTCCAAAATATTTCGAACGAATTTGCTGTGCAACCAAGCACGAAATCAGCCCGATGCATCAACCAGGTCTGGCAGAAAAACCATGGTTACCAACGATCTAGTCGCCAATAAATTGTTATGTAACAATTGAAACGATATACAAATTTGAACCGCACATATACTAGTAAAACGAACTAGTAAAACGTAGAGAAATGGTTATTTTTCTACTGATTTAACATGGGATTACCTTGAGTTAGAGTTTACTCATAAATATTCATTCACCGTATTCATGAAAATGAATAAAATTATTCTGATGATCATCTTTTTTGTTATATTCAATTTTTTTTGACTGCTAAAAAATTTGTCTGCCGTTCACTTCGGCTACTTGGTAAATTTAAATTGTATCTATATATAGTGTATTTATTAATGCTGTTGCACTTTCCCTTTTTTAAGTCTTATTAATAACCCAGAAATGGTGTCTAACAACTAAATTCTACAATGATCTATTCCAGTATAATTTTGATTGGGATATACACAACACGTCGTAGACGTTGTATCTAATAAAGCATGGTGTGCACAAAAGGAATACAGATAGTGGACATGCAGGTAAACTCTATTGTCCTCTTATATTCTCTATTTAATATTCTTCTGTTTAAAATTCCAGCTGATTTTCCCTTTTTGTGAAGAAAGGTGAAAGAAATGCTTAGCAAATAACAAATGTCACGAACTCTGAGAGATTACAAATAAACCAGAATGTGCTGAATGGGCTTACACATAATCTAAAGAAAAAGAGGCCATGAATTTTATGCCTGATGCCAGGCAGGTTACGTGCTCTAACCTTGGGCGGTAAAATTTGCTGGAATTGAAATTGTAAGCATGCATGTTTACAAGCATATAATATACAGGCGGCACACGAGCCTAACTTCTAAGAACTTTTTGTTGCAAGTGTTTCATCTGTTCATTTGGGGGGGGGAAGGGCTAATAATAGTATCTAGGGTGACTCAAAGGTCGACCGCTGGAATTTTTACTGAATTACCATTGTAATTATATAGGTCAACTAAATTCTTTAGGCCACAAGCTCGACACAAAATAATGAATTCAGATTTAACTTGGAAAGACATCTTTTGTCACAAACGGGTTTCCGGGCGGACCTCCTTCGTGCTGAAATAACTGAATATACAGGTTTTTGGACCGACTTTCCAATATTCTTCCTAATATTTACTCCGGTGTGCCGCGCACATGCCAGTCTTCAAGATAAAGTTTCTGAAAATAAGCAATACAGTTCATATTTATTTAGATGCCTTGCAAACTTAAATGTTGTTCGATCGCGACATTCAGAAGCACATCGTACTTTAAAATATAGAAGCTCAATTGTTCAAAAATGTAAATAAACCGCATGCATGATACGTTCACTTTGCCTTTGGAATTCGCGCTTATATAGTTATATTAAATCTTCAATCCTGTGCAAACTGCGACGTGTCAACGCGCCCATACACGACCACATCTTGTTCACTGCCACTGATCAAAAGAACGGTTTATTTAAACTGCGTTACATTTATGCTTACAGTATCTATCGTGAAATTTGAATTTTATCATTACTATATATCACATAAAACAACATAATTATGTGGAAGGAAACAAAAAAGAAACAACTTACGAATAGCAATAATTATTTCACAATTTGATTATCTAAAAATATCATACATTACATGCAATGTCCCATTTTCACTTTAGTCTTTACAGTTAACATCGATATCGTGATTTTCGACGTCTTAAACTATCCTTCCAGGGCTGGAAAGCTGAGAGTTCTCCTAAAATCATGAAAGAAAGAAAGCAATTAACTTAATTTTTACTGATATTTATATTCTGACTATGTCTTGCTTGTGTCTTCTAAACTTTGTCTCGAACGATAGAAATATTCAAACTGTCCTTAACATGTGTATCATAGTACTATCAGTATTTCAAATTTCATTTAACCCATGCACTTTCATATTATCTTAGTCACACATGCTATAAAGCAGCAAAAGAATCGTATTAATTCCACAACAAAAACTTTACCCTACAGGCCACACCACTTCCGACATTACACAAGAGAACCATTCACGAAGTGAAAGTAACAACTACCAGGAAAATATTTCACTTTTCTGGGAATCAGAATACTTAAAAAAAAACTCGATAAGATTTGGTACTTATTTGTGTTTTCCTGCAATTTTCGACGCTGCAAGTGCTATGTTTAGTTTTCATATAAACTATAAGCTAAAATTTCAGCGCAAAGTCTCAAATGGTTCAGCTAAGTTCGGTTGGCAAAATTTAGTTCCACTTTGCTGTAATATTCTCTCAAGCCCGCTGAATGTTTTTAGTTTTTTACATATAATCATGTATTTCACTCACTCAATTCCATCCCATAGGCCTCTTGCTTTACGTTTTATCCAGGAAGACAAGGTACTGGCCTTCTCTTTGATACTATAAACACTGTGGTCCACAAACTCGCCAAAATTGATCTTTCCCGATATTAGGTCACCGATCCCACTCGATTGAAGGCTAATGGGACGGCCGTATCGACATAGTGTGACAAAATGCTCGCAGTTGTTGGTGTAGAAATTGTAATCCCAATACTTGCCTACCCAATCGCGTGCAGTCTTCACGATTTGACTGCGTGGCAGAACTCTGTCTCGAAAACCATCAGTATTGTCCAAATGGTTATTCTTTCTAACAAGTTTGCCACAAAAGGCGTCTGTCATCTTTACTCTGACAACATCGCATTTTCTTGACCAACTTCCTGAACGCGGAGTATCGACGTGGACAATCTCTCCATTACCAATGAAGATTGCAAAATGGCTGTAGAACCACTGGTGGATAAAGTTTCCTTTCACTTGAATCATGTCTCCGGGGAGAAGATTGTCCACTAAACTGCGTGCATCAACAAAGTCGCTTCTGATATGTTGTACGGCCTTCCTAGCTTTGTCATTATCGTATAAAACTAAGGCCTGCGAACGAGACGTACATTCCTTCTTCGACGAACTACCTCCCATTATTGTATGAGATGTAAAACAGGACCAGGGAAATGAATCAGGAACCTAGACGCTGCAATCTTTATATGGTATGTCCCATGCTGACGTCCACATACATGTTCCTACGTATGTCCTGGAGGATTGACCAATCAGGGTTTATCATTTCGTATGCATAGTTCCTGTTTCAATGAATGATATAATCATTGTGTAACTTACAAGGAGAAGTGCTGAACTCTAGTATCCCGTTCGCATCTTTAGGGTATATCTATACTAAGTAGTCTTCTTTCGGCTCACTCCTCAGTAACTGCCCCACCTTTCGTAAAGTAGGGGATTTCTTGGAAATTTTTTGTTTAGTCGGACTGAATTATACGGTTTAAATTCAGAAATAATGTGTCAGTGAACGTGACAGGCAATTCACTGGGCAATTCACCAGGAACCTGATTAACTTTAAGCTATATTTTTGTTATATGCTTCGGTTTTTCTCATATATACCAGTGGACAGGCTAGACAGCCCCAATTGATCCCCATTTTCAGTGATATTAAAGTAATGCATGCAATTTTATTGAAAATCAAATATTTTTGAGCTTGGCTGTAAAGAAATCTCAAATATGAAATATTAATGTCACAAATTTTCGTAATTTGTGCATATTTGTGCAATACATTTTTAAATTGTGCTGGATCAACGTTAATTAGTCTAAAATTAGTCTTAATTAGAACGATAATTAGTCTAAAATAAAAGTCAAATTAAACTGATCTTGTCGAATCGTCAGAACACATGTTCAACCTGATTTGTATCCAAAAATACCCTGCTCTGTAATTTGAAATGGTTCCAAATGCCATTAAAAATTAAAAATACAGATGTTTCTCGCAACGAGCCTAAAGACCTATTCCTGGTTATGCTAATATTTTGGTGTTCATTCACTGCGTAAACAATCAATTTCTAAAAACATGGATAATTATGATAACCTCAGGTCAAAATCAAGGTCAAAATTAGCTCGTCAGACTACTACTACCTACATCACTACCCGAAACAGGTATGGCATTTAATTAATTAACAGTTTATTTCTTATCATGCGATGCGACTTGATATGAAAGATATCCTGGCAAATTATTTTTTTCTTAAGCCAAATTTAGCAGCATTTGGAATTCGTAGGGTTACAACACTCTCGCGTGCGCCCGCATGCTAATACAACAACCGCTGGCTGTATGAGATTTCTTGCCATTTGCGCTTTTTCACGAAAGGGCTGCTTTAAGTGTCAAAAGCACAATAAGTCATTTCAAGTGATTCACTTGTTCTCGAGTGATGGTTTTAAAAGTCGCAAAACAAGCCTGAAATACCTTCTAAAATAACGTAGCATATCTAAACAGCATTTAAGAAATAACTTTTCATGATCAATAGATAAATCTAAACTTTTCAACTTCCTTTTCTTACATTTTTTGGGTACACAATGATCTCTCTGACCCTATCATGTGCGGTGAAGGAGAATTTTCAATTTCAGCGCCATATTGCATGATCTGAAGAAAATCAGACTGATAATTCAGATTCTTCCGATCACTTCATCTGGGACTCAGTAAGCAATGTCAGGGCTTCGTTTTTTGAGTAAAAAGCACTTTGGGCTTCGTGATTCGTTTTTGAGTTCACGGCAATCGTTTTTGTGGACGGCAAATACGACTCAGAAAAGACGATATGTGCATGGGCACAAATTTTTTGAAAAGAAGGTATATTTATACTTTTTTAAATTCATTTAGATACATGCGGACGGGGAGGTAAATGGAAGATTTTAACGTTAACTCAGGGTCATAAAGCTTAAGTAACATCATTTTTTTAACGAGGCTATTGAGCAAATTAATCATTGGAAATGTCTATTACACGTTTCATATCATCGTTCATACCTTGCATGTTTAGTTGTTTAGAGGGTGGTTTATGGGAAAGCAATCATCAATTGCTTGGAAGAACAAAATATTCAACAGGAATACCTTAAAGCTGAACTACAGTTGCATGACTAGCATCCACAGTATAATTTCTGGGCACAATAAATCGGTAGTAGCTAAGTAAGTCCGCGTCAACAGATGATTCTATCACGAAACTAAAACAGTGTAATTGTAGAAATAAATCCTCATGCCCACTCAATGGTCAGTGTCTAACAACCAATGTAGTACCAAGCAACGATTGTTAGAAACGATTCCAACCATATAGAATCGTATATGTTGGTCATACCGAAGGCCAATTCAAATCAAGATATAATTGTCACACTATAGAAATGCAACAGAGCTAAGTAAATATATATGGAGTCAAAGGTCAATTATGTGATATAAGCTGGCGTATTATGAAACAGTGCAAGAGTTATAGTAATACATCTAATTTCTTTGTACAAACTCACGAAAAATTCATCATAATCTACCACCCTGAACTTTGTTCCCTGAATTCAAGAAGCGAACTTTTATCAAACTGGAGACATAGAAATAAATTTCTCTTAAGTAATATAACCTAATATAATATGCCGAATATGTCCACCCTACTAGCTACGCCGCTGATTTAGCCAGAGAACCACTCACGAATTGAAAGTGGAAGCATTGGCGTCAATCGAACGGTAATTGAGGGGGACGATATTCATATATTCTGCTACGCCTGGCTAATTTCTTTTGAAAATCTTTTCACTTTTAATAGAAAACAGGCTGGCATAACAGAATATATGAATATCGTCCCCCTCAATTAACGTTCGATTGACGCGCATGAGTGGAAGTAACAACTACCAGGGAAATATCTTACTTCTCTGGGAATCAGAACATTAAAAAAAACTCGATAAGGTTACTTTTTTGAACTTGGATGCATTGCAGCAATGTTTCAAAATTGATTAAACAGTATGTATAATTTTGACCGGATCGGAACGCCATAAAAGGGCGTATCAACCCAATAGCAATATATATGCGCGAGAGCAGATATAAAAGTAGGTACGTTGCTTACATGTGGGTAGTCTTTGACTTTCAATCTTGGAGATAACCAAGATATCCGATAGCTAACTCAGGGACATCTATTTAAAACAAATTACTTATCAGTTTACAATAAATAACTTAGCTGATAATACCATAAAAATTGTTTATAAATTTAAAACTGATCCCAAATATTCACTGACTTAAATTCTCTATTTATAGGGTTGGATTTTTCTCCACGCCATTTAATTGACAGTCTGACAGTATAACACCACGCACATGCACATAACATTATGATATAATAGTATTTCAACTCACCACAAGTACAATTCACCGTTTTTTCATTTTTTTAATTGACTTTTCAAAGGCAAATAGTACATTGAAGTAAAACATTAATAGTATTTGATTTATATTACACTATGCAACATCCATGCAGCTTGCAATACAATTCTACGTCTAAGGCATCTAAGGTTGACAAATAAAAAGATGTCTTATCTTCTAACGATTTCTTAGCATTTCGAACACTGTTCAATGTCTTATCTTCTAACGCATTATTTCATTGCAAGTTGCAAGGACAATTGCATAGTGTAACACAGTAACAGCACCGTAAGATGGAATGACCTTTTGGCATTTGCAAAAGTCTGTAAAATTGTGGTTTAACTTATTCATAGTATGCCGATATTGCGAGAAATGTACAAGAAAAATTCGGCAAAATGCGAGAAATATATATTAACTTTGATATTCTTTCTCTGAATCAGTTGTATAATGTCTCCCACAATACTCTCAGTGTATAGACAGAGTGTTCAAGCAATAACAAAGAGCCATAACAAAACGTATTTTGAATAACTAAGCCGGCTGCAAATATACGACAACAAATAGTGATATCCGCCATATTTATTGGCAATTTGCGAGCTGCATGACAAGTTTAGGTCCATGTAATATCGTCATTATGCAAGTATAACAACCGACTGTACAGAGTTTGCTCACATAGCTATGTTAAAAGACCTAGTTATTCCTGGTTAATGTTTTGGTTTCATTCACTTAATTCACTGCATAGACAATTAATTTCTAAAGAAATAAACCATGATCATAAGTTTCAAATTTGCATTCAATTGTCAAAATTAGATCGCCACGCTACGCTACGCTACGCGAAATAAATATGACATTTAACATAACGTTTAGCATTATTTCCCGTTATGCAATTTGACTTGATATAAGAGATATTACCTTTTTATGAATTACTTTTTTCTTCAGGCTAAATTAGGCAGCATCTAGCAGGGTTACGTCATACTCTTGTGCGCCCGCCGCTAACAACTGCTGGCTGTGTTCAATTTTTTGCCATTGCTTTTTTCCTTCGATATTTTATTACGCTCTCAAATTGGTGTAATAAAGCAAGAAATTGCAGCACAAACTCAAACGACCAAACCGCACTGGTGGTGACTTTGTAGCTTTGACAATCAAAACACCTCTACGCAAATTTCAGCATCGTTTACTCGCCGGATTTGACTTGCATGATTACTCCATTTTAAGCTAATATATACAACCTCGTTTCCAGGCGTTTTACCTTGGGATCGGCCAGCCGATTCTGACTTCTGATTGGTTAAACGACTTTTCTAATTTATGTGCAATTAGCGAAATATTTTGTAACTATTCCGAACCGAGCAAATAATTAGGGTGCGATCAAAGGGTGCGGTAAATGGCATAAAGCAAAACTCCAACAACCTCGATTCTGTACATTCATTCCGTTAATTTATGCTTATTGAAAACCAGGAATACCCATGGAATGTGGGCATTTTGAACGGCCGCGATCCCAGGGTCTTTCCTCTTCTCTTCTCCCCCAGCCCCCATGCAACCCCCTTATAAAGTCCCAAAAGGCACTGGGAAAGAGGTTGTAACATATATGCCTTTTACGATACATGCGTATTGATGTTTTAACACTAATCCTTCACTCGGCTGCAGACCATGTCAACCATAATTGTCGCCTTCTTGTACTTAAGTAATTAAGTATTAAAGGTTCGGCATGTGCTGCACGTGAGTGTGTACAGTATATAATATGTACAAAAAACCACAGCTATGCCTTAACGTCAAATAATTTTTGCAAAGCGGCATGTACAAGGTTGAGCGCATTATTTTTTTCAGGCCATATGGTAAAAGTCTGATATTAAAAGACTGATATTAAAAAATATGTCCAATTTTTTTCACAGCATGATCTCGTCTGGCTATTTGGTGTGGGCGAATGCTGTCTA